TCGTCCTCGTATCGTGTCCACTCGGACGCGGGCTCTGGATCTTCCGACACACCGCGGTACTCATCAATCGTCGAAGTCGAATCGCGCCGCTGGCGGTCTTGAACCTCTGGCCGTTTTTCCTTCACAAGTCTCCTCGCATAGCTTGGGAACAGAACCATCTCTTCATTTCCAGACCGCGTGATTTCCACATCGGAAAACGCACCCGGGGTATTGTAGTAATCCTCATTGTAATCACGCTGGTTATTCCTCTGCGCCGCCCATTGCGCCGTGTATGTCTGCCGTAGCTCATTAGCCGCCCTCAGGTATTCGTAGACCTTCTTGCGCCGCCCGCCACCCCCGGCGCCCCACGATGTAGACGCGGACGACTCGTACTGGGACATCGAGGATCTCCCAGCTGCATCCGGGGCTTGTCCTGCTGCTCGCAGACCTTTCACGCGCGGGACAAGCTGCGACCCTCCAGCAGAGCCAGCACCCAGTCGCCTGGCTGATCCCCTCCGCCCAAGAAGCAGAAGCTCAAGTATACCCTTCTTGCCCGAGATCCGTCTACGTGCCCGTCTTGCTTGCTGCTGAACGATGGCGCGATAGACCCGTGCTTGTGCTCGGTGGCGGAAAGCGGGGATCGTCTCGTGCCGGAGACCCCAAAGGCGCAGCTGAGCGCGGCGGGTGGCGTGAGGGCCGATGAGGAGACGAAAGAAACGAAGAAGCCGTCCTGGCCTGGTCTGTCGGTCTCGATTCGAGGGACGAAGGAGCGAGGGGAGAAACCGAAAGAGGGGTTGGCGCCTGGACTGGGAAGTCGGCGGGGGCGCTAGCCAACGACTGCGAGGATAGATTTTGGGAGCCAGGGTCGATATGGAAGAAATCTAGTCCGAGTTGAATTCGGGAGAAACAAGCAGAGCTTGATACTATCAACGTCAAGATCGTAGGAAAACCAGGTGATCCCAATTAATGAGCTTCGTAGGCGGCAAGGTTGCCCGAGAACTGTGCTTAGGTGTCGTCGGATCAGAGATTCTGTGGGCTGTGATTCCCGAATAAACGTGATCAAGGATCAAGTGAGCATGGCGAACAGATGCTGATCTAATGGTGACAATAACTGCGACATAATCAATGGGGATGCAGAAAATGAGACTAGATAGATAGTCTAGAAGCTGTCAAGCCTCTTGTGAGTTCAACCTGTGGAGAAGCGGAACAGGACCCGGCGGCATCATTTCATCATCGTCCGCAGATACACTACTATCTACAAGAGAGACGGAAAATGATGGAACGAAATGAAGCCCCTGAAAAATTCTACTATTAATAGATCCTTGTCAAAATATTCTTACCATTTCCCTTGGAGAGTGACTTTCACACATGCAACAATAATACATAAGAGACTGAATGTGATGTAATTACACAAGAGACTGGCCCACTAGCCATTGAGGATAATGTTCCTTCAGGAATATAAAGCGAATCTTTTCATACAGAGTCGCTCTCCTCGGCGTAACTGACCTTCTTCGCGGTCGTTGCGCGTCGGCTACGACGAGTATTGGCAGTCTCAGTACCAGAAAGCATGGGCGGTTCCGCCAGAGCTAAACCCTCGATATCAGAGACCGACGGAGTAGAGAGCGGAGTCGGTGAAGCTTTCCTTTTCCTGCTTGTCTGTTTTTTCACACTTGCAGTGCGTTTGGGTGGACGAGAAGTCTTAGGCTTGGGAGTCGCTGGCCCCTCGTATTCCTCATCAGCATCCTCGTCCTTTATTTGTGACGAGTCTTCATTTGCCTTTGCCTCCTTCTTCGATGCATTCGATTTTGCCGGACTCTGCCGTGCTTTGACACGAATGATCTTCTTCGGCCGAAGCCACTCTTCCATACCTGGTGGCCAATAGACTCTTCTTTCCGGACCTCCCATGCCTACTTCTTCCTCGGGAACAGTAGGAGCAGGAGGGACTTGAGCTTCGAGGTCAACGAACCCTCCGTTCTTCTTGGTTTTGCGAGGAGGCTTGAAAGGTCTGTTCTCATCGGTTCGCGTGTAAGGCAATACATCATTAAAAAGGTCGTGGCCAGGCAGCTTAAACCGCCTCATTAATTCAAAAACGGCTTGCTCCTTGTCCTTGGCCTCGATCATTAAATCCATGGTCGGGTCGCAAGGTGGAAGCGTGGACACTCGATCGCTGTGCTTTCGCCGCTGTCGATTCGTGATGGCGGAGGGAACAGGTTCCGAATAGTGCATTTTCTGCGTGATGTTCTTACGTGTCCAAGTTGCCTTGATCCGGTCGAAAAGATCCATGATATCCAAGGTACCCTCGCGCACTTGGCTGGAATCGAAGACGATGTTGTGGTGATGAAAATCGAGGACAAGCGGTATATTCAGCTCCTCACAAATGGGCAGTAAATCGTGCACTGACCAGCTTACGTCGTCATTCTCCAGAACGAGCCGATTCTTGATATCCTGGGAAAGACCTTTGTAATTCTCCCGGAACCGATCTAGTGTGGCCTCTTTATCGCCGAATACGCCCCCCATGTGGAGAATCATGACAGCGTCGCGATCTTGCTGCGGAGGCAATTTGAGGAGTTGCAACATCTCCGAGTGATATTCTAGATCGCGGATTGAGCTTTCAATGACTTCCAGCCTGGGCGAGCCAAGCTGAGTAAACTGGCCAGGATGTACGGACACTCGATGACCGAGTTCGGCAACCACACGGCCAACCTCAGCGAGGACCTCTGATGCAAATGAGGCAAGTCTATAGCCATACTCTTTATGGCTGGCGAAAGGGAACATCTCACTGCTCAGCCGCATAAATTTGATGCCATATTTGTCATTCCAGCGCAGGAGCTTAATCAGATCTCGCGCATTGGCCAGTCCCAGAGACTCAACATAGGCCTGTCCGCGGGCAACATCAGGCGTCCGATCCCGATCCGGGCGGTTCTTGGTCGGATGAGGCGGCTGCGAGGGATCCGCAAGTGGGTGTCGGTTTTCAAGAATGGACGCAATGCGACAGGTCCGAGAGCAGAACACTGGCGGGTTCGCGTTCCGTAGATATGTATTCAAGCAAGCCTACACACCATAAGTAACACAACTACAGAGGGGCCAGCATCTGAAAGAATGCGCGAATCAACCTGACTTACATAGCCTAATCGGCCTCTCCAGGGGAGCGGAAGGTAGCTACTATTCACAGGTGGGGGACGCGAGAGAGCATCCTGAAGCTCCTCGGCTTCAACAGGAACATCGTCATCTGATTCAGGGTCTGAAGGTACATCCTGAGATGGCGCGTCGTTTGACTTGGTTGCTTGTGGGACAATCCCTATTCGGAGGGTGTCGTCCGGCACAACAGAACTGGCTGGCATGCTAACAGATTCCGGAGACCGCGACAATCCTCTCGAGAGCAGGTATGGAGGAAAAGTTGGCGTGGTCACCAGTTTAAACGATCGACCAGCCGAGGAATGTGTCGCAATCACGCTGGAAACGCGTCCATAAGAGCGAACAGAAACTAAGGAACGTCCACGGCTCTGAGCTAAAGAATAAGAAAGACTTTGGCTCGCCACGGAAGCTGATTGACTTATCCACCGTGACGATGAGACGTGGCGAATCGAAGCTTGCGGCGGGCCAAATTCCAGGCCACCATGGGAACCTGCGGCATGCTGGAAGAGAAGAGCATGGGCTAATATTCTCTGCTGCTGCGAAACAGTAGGCCGCAGCAACATCCAGCAAATCCTGCTGTTGAACAGGTGGAGTCGCTGATGAGTTGAGTTCTAACTGTGATGACGGGTCATTTTTCTCTCTGCGATCGATGATCGATGATGTTTAATCGTTGATCGTTGGTCGATCGGGGTCTGGCGGCAGAAATGAGAGAAGAAGCCAAGGAACCGTGGAAAACAAAACAATGGGTGTACTCCGTAAATGCAAGCAGCAGCAGCAAATGAGTGGTCAGGATTATCTATCCAGAGGACGCGTCTGCTTGATACTGTACTACGTTAGGAGGCTGGAGCTGATGGTCAATTTAAGCCTTTCAGGGGCGCATGTTTGCTTCCGGGGGCACTTAAGAATAGGAGACTAGTCACTGCCAAGCTCTGTAGAGTACGGAGGAGGCAGTGCGTGCGGATCTACACCTTCCCGCAGCCATCAACCGAGACTTTCTTCTGCCTCTCCATTCCATCACAACTCTTCCCGTATCTCATGGAAACCAGTTCATATCACATCATCTAAGCCCCATTCATCCAAAATCTTCAAATCTTGTCCCGAAAAACAAGGTGGTCGGCAACGACAATGCGTCGTCATGGGAAGTCCTCACTCTCTCCATATACAACCACCAGGCGATCATCTCTGCCGGCAAAATATCGCACGCCGATTATGGGGTCCGACTTGGATACTGCCTCGTTTGGACTTGACAAGGTCCTTGTTAAGTATCCAAGGCCATAGCGACCACGATGCTTACTGGTAAACAGCCCGTTGCACCTCCAGCACTCCTTCATTCCTCAAAACAGAGTGATGAGCTGTCACTCGTGGACGCCATAGTGGATCCGACAATGGCATCCAGCGTTCATTCTTGGTGATTATAACCCGAAACCAGGTGCCATGGAGTCGTACAGAGTTACATACCAGCTCAGGTCTCGACTGACTTAAAAAGGCTGCTCAGCAACCAGCAAAACAAAATGTGAGGCTGTCTTTCCGGTTGCTAAGCAGGAGAGTCTAGTTCGTGGACTTGTTCAGTCAACGTCCTCCCTCTGATCTACTGGAAGTCCCTGTTCCATAAAAAGGAGCTGGCTTTTGCCGCCTGTTTCTTCACCTCTTTGCGAGCTTTGTTACTTACAGCTCCGTGCCTGGCAATCGTGGTTGTCCGAAGATTATTAGGTGAGTCTCGTTGTTCCTATGTCTAGCTAGTATGAGCCGATGACACTGAGAGAAACCCTTTACTTGTTCTTGTGTCTCTCGTGCAAGCCCGTGGGTCACTACTAACTCTACAAATACAGAGTCGCCTTGAATTATCTTCCATTCCAGACACAGATAATCGTAGGGTTACTCTCGCAATGAGGGGTCTCTTAGTGGCTTCGGCCCTTTTGGCATCATGTGTCTCCGGACATATGCAAATGTCGAAGCCGTATCCCATTCGGAGCCCGCTGAACCCGGACGCGGATGACAAGGATTACTCCTACACGAACCCCCTGTCAACAGATGGATCTGATTACCCGTGCAAGGGATATGCCAATGATCCCTTTGAGTCTGTTGCTGACTATACGGCTGGTCAAACATACGAACTTGAACTACAGGGCAGCGCGACGCACGGCGGAGGTTCCTGCCAAATTGCTCTCTCTTATGACAAGGGCAAGACCTTCAAAGTCATCCATTCAATGCTCGGAGGGTGCCCTCTCACCTCCAAGTATGAGTTCCAAATTCCCTCGGACGCCCCGTCTGGCGAGGCCCTCCTGGCCTGGTCATGGTTCAACAAGATCGGAAACCGCGAGATGTACATGAACTGTGCTATGGTCACCGTCAAGGGTGGTTCTCAGGCCCGTCAGCACGCTCGCGACCTGTCTCCTGCCTTCTCCCGCCGGGCTGGCGGCTTTGACAGCCTTCCACCCTTGTTCGAGGCCAACATCAACGGACCCGGCAAGTGTAAGACAGTGGAAGGCCAGGAAGTTAACTTTCCTCTCCCCGGACCTTCCGTCGAGGGCTCCTTGAGTGGCAAGGGATACCAGTGCGAGAGCGATGCGCCTTTCCTGGACAGTGACTCGAGCAGCAACAGTCCCAAGGCCTCTTCGTCCGATCAAGCCGTTGCCTCCACTGCTACATCTTCAAGTGCCCA